AAAAAAAAAAAAAAAATAGAATGTAAAATTTAGCTTAACAAGACTTAAAAATGTCTAATTTTGGGAAAAGTGTAAAAATGGGAATCTAATGATGACATCTCATAATTAATTTTATTTTTTTACTACTGTTTCTAATAAAATTGTAAAACGAGAATCTAATAATCACATCTTATACGATTTACTTTTGTTGAAAAAAGACATATTTTCGTATATAGGCGATTGAAAACGTGACAACGACAAAAAATAAAAATAAAATAAAATTAACATATAGTCAAAAGTTATAATAATGATATTGGACACAATTTTTCTACCACAATATGTTGCATAATCCTTTAAAATCAAATAAATCAACCATATGTTTCCTATAAATTTCAACATAATTCCCATGTTCAAAAAAAAAAAAAAAAAAAAGTCTTCCCATAAATAAAGAAAAATCTGTCAAAGAATCTTCTTGAAATTTACAAGCATTTTATTTTTTCACAACAAATAGAAAAAAAAAATAAATAAATAAAAAATGAAAACCTAATTCTCAGTTAATGCCCATTGTGCCAAACACGCCCTTATAAAAAAAAAACCCAACTCAACCAGGGTTACTTTTTGTGACAACTTTACTCTCAACACCATTTCCCTATAATTTAACACCATCTCACAAAACACACACACTCACTCACAGTCACTCACTTACCCCTTTCTTTTCTCTGCACTTTCTCTCTCTCCCTTTTTTTTCGCTTTGAGCCGACGAAACACAGAACAAAGAGCAAACCAAAAATAATAATATATAATTTTAATTTTTGCGCTCGATCTTTTAAGATGAGCTGCAATGGGTGCCGGGTTTTGAGGAGAGGGTGCAGCGAGAACTGCATCTTAAGGTCGTGTTTGGATTGGATCCAAAATCCCCAGGCCCAGGCCAACGCCACCATCTTTGTCTCCAAATTCTTCGGCCGCAGCGACCTCATGTCATTCATCTCCGCCGTGCCGGAAAACAAAAGGCCCGGTAATTGATTAGAATATAATAATAATTTTTCTGGGAATTAATTAGAAAATAATGATAATTTTAATTAATTATTTGGTATATATGTGCAGCTTTATTTCAATCCCTATTGTTCGAGGCGTGCGGGAGGACGGTGAACCCGGTGGGAGGGGCGGTGGGGCTGCTGTCCACCGGGAACTGGCACATCTGCCAGCTGGCGGTGGACACTGTGCTCGCCGGCGGCGAGCTCCGGCCGCTTGCCGTGGGAATCCCGGCGCCGGGAGGAGAGAGGGCTCCGTCGAGGCACAGGGCGGCGGCCATGCATGGGCCGACCGGAGGGTTGGTCGGAGAGTACCGGTCTCCGGCGGCCGGTGGATGGGGCTGCGTGGAGCACACGATGTCGGGATTATCGGAGGTGTCGCCAGGGTTTGGGGGGAGCAGTAGTGACGATAATGGAGCTAAAAGTGCTGGTGCCAAAAAGCCAAAACTTCTCAACCTCTTCCCTTAATACGTAGTGCAGAGTAGTAATAATAATGCCAAAAAATAAAATAAAAATCATAATAAATAATAATAATAATAATAATAATAATAATAATAATAATAATAGCAATAATAATAATAGTTAATTTTTTTTTTACCATTTTTTTTTGGTTGGAGATGAGGACTAGCTAACTTCTTTTTGGACTGATTTGGAGAAATGAGAAACTGTCGAAATGTAAACTAACCTGAGTTTTATTTCTTTTACGAATTAGTTGCATCTTTCAATTGACTCCTTCATTGGTTGTATAACATGAAATAGTACCTCCTTTTGTTGCTCTCTTGTTACTTTTTTTTTTTTTTTACCTTTTTTGTTCTTTAATTGTTTTTGAGAGTACGATCTGTGTTCAGTATAAGATAAACAATCAATAGAAGTAATGAAAGAAGATAATAATTCTCTTTACCAATCGCTAAATTCCATATGTGTTTACCATGTCAAGTATTGATGGAACTTGTTTGTCGTTTTATTTAACATAATATAGTTTACATTTCATCTGTAAATTGATCATAAGCGTTGTTGTTAGATTGTTAACCATTAGGTTGTGGTGTGTAAAAGATCGGACTTGAATGATTTGGATCTGCACTCGAGCGGTTCGATAAAACCAGCAAAACAGCGCCGAGAGTGATCTCAGTGTTAAGCCTCCAATGACCAAGTCAGAATGTGTATAAAGAAGACAATGAACAGTAGTAATATAGTATGTATAGTGTGTAGAGTGTTACCCTAATCCCTTATAAAAGGATGTCACCTTGTAGCGCAAGACTGCCCGGATGGGTTGTTCGAGTGCCCGAATTGCCATTTCGCACTGTCCAGGTGCCTGGATTGCCTAATTCTGTTAGGCCATGTGGTCCTATCCACGTGCGACTCTTATATTTAAATATTTTTTTTATCCATTAGTGTGCAGCGACTCTTATATTTAAATATTTTTTTTATCCATTAGTGTGCCTTGTTACGGTCAAATCAAATGACCAACTAGGCTCCCCTTGAGCTAGATTGTCTTCTCATTGTGCTCATGCACTATGTCCCTCAGGTCGATCTGTCGACTTGCATACCTCCAAGTCAAGTTTCTACCGTGTCATTCGAGTGCTCTAGCTCGACCAGTAGCTCGATCCTCGTTTATTTGTGAAATCAACATCGACATGATGTATAATTCTTCAACCTCTGGTATCTTCGATCTCCTATCTACTAGTTCACGTGGTTTGGCTAGGTGCTTCTCGGGTCGAGTAGAATCGGTATGGTATCACGTATCATCTAGATGTCCCACTCAGGTTGAGTTAGGGTAACTCGATCTAAGAGTAGTTTCGACTGTCTTTGGTCACGCTTACTAAGCTCGCCACTTGTCTCATCAACCTCTCCACTCATGTTTTCTTTTGATTAGTCGGGACAATCTTCTCGACCTGAGACTGATCTTCTCGAGTTTAAAATTTGAATTTCAATTTTTTGACATTATTAGGTCAACCTGATGTCTCTTCAGTCAGCATAACGTCTTCTCGACGTAACTGCCAGCAATCCGTATTGTCCTCATGTTATGTGCCCATTAAATGTTACATTAATTTTGCCCCTCCGATTTCCTTTTAATCCAACTCTCATAATCGAGCTGTTCCTTTTCAGCTTACCCCTTTCAATCTTGCCCATCCATTTAGACCTGAATCCAACAGTTCTGCTCGACATACTCTTCAACTAGCCTTTTATTTCTTGTTCGTCCATTTCGACCTCTATCCAACGATCAGGATCAATCCACCTCTTTCACTTTCTTTCTCCCTTCTGTTATAAATAAGATCCTTGGCCAAATTTTCTATATTTTCCACCTTTGCAAAAATTTTTTTGCAATATAATCTCTCAAGTTTTTAGAGAAAGACATAAGTCCTTGTCGCTCTAGTCCATCGTCGACCATCACTACTTGTTGTTTTCACCATCCGACTTCAAGCTCCAACCACGTTGATGAGTTAATATTTCTTCTTAATTTTTTTATTTTTTCATGTTCGGTTTTTTTTTTTTCAAATTTCTTCCTTCACATGTCTGTTCCTCAAACCATTTTCTTTGGTTCACCTCATCTATCATATTTTTTTTCTTTTTTATTTTTTTCTTTTGTTTTTTAGGTTTTCGTGCAAAAAATGACTCCATTGATGCCTTCGTCGGCAGAGAGCGCAACTAGTGACTCCGGTGATGCTCCATCGGCAGAGATATGAGTTCTTCCTCTTCCTCTGCGACCTTTTCTTCTCTCTCTTTTTCTTTCTCTTTCTATTTAGAGGTCATCCCCCAACCTACTCTCTTGTTGTCTCGGCCTGATCTTCCACTTTTTCCATCTATCCCTTCTTCTTTCAACCTCTTGGTTTGGTTGATGAGTCTGAGGAGGATGTAGAGTCCCCTCATCGACTTGAAATGGGAACGAATTCGATCTCTGTGGGAGGATTGTTCCCGACGCGACTTTAAATAAAGCTCCAGACATGCTCTTTGTTTCTCACAAGCCCAGTACATTACCCACATTAGAGAGAATTGGTTTGGTTATTTCCTATTCAATTGCGATCTACCTAAAGAATGGAGATATGTCTCTTCACGGCCAACAAACACCTGAGACCAGCCACCGACTGGCTATTACACATTTTACTTGACCAGATGGCACTTGGTCTCAAAGTTTCCTCTGAGTCCAATACTGGACCTATGCGATATAAACGGCTTCCACATCAACCAACTCTCTCCAAATTCCATCAGACATTTAGTGGTCTTTTCTATACCTTCTCGCTATAGATTATGTTACATTGACCATCATTTTCTTTTTTTATGTTACGTAGGAAAAGAGTAGAAGGGCATCTTGTACATCGCAGCTCATACTGAGCTAAATTTATGGACAACCTCCCTTCTAACATCACAGGTTGGAAAACCTGTTGTTTTTTCATTAGACCTTCTACCAAACTTTTCTCTCATGTGGTGGGCCTCTCTACCCCTTGGGCTTGCTCTTCCTAAACCAAATCATACTTTCGACCACTTGATTGAGTCGTGGAACAGTTTTCCCTTAGCTTCTCCTATCCTAGTCGATAATGAGCAGTTACTGTTTCACTGAGGTCTTTCCAGGAGACTTTATCCTCCTCTGACTTAAGTCGCACTTGGTAGGATTAAGCTTGAGTTTATGTTATTTTATTTTCTGACCTTTTCACTTCTATTTTCCCTGGGAATGCATAGGGAAGTAAGTACCTAATGTAGGACTTATTATCTCGTTTATTGCTCTATTTTTGCTTACTTAGTGTTAAGAAGTAACATTATTTTCTTGTCTTAATGCATGCGTTAGGTTCGGTTCTACTTAAAGTTTCTATCTTTTGTCTTGTTTTGCCTGACTAGGGCGATTAGGCTGTTAAAGTTTGATTTTTTCAAGGTAAAAGTCGAAACTTTGATTAAAGGTGGATCATTTCACAATTGATCGTTCAACTTTAGCGTCCATTTGTATTAGTCATGGCTTGTTTCTTATTTTTTATTTGTTTTTGTGGGTTTGAACACTCCGAAGCAAGTAAAGTCTAGAGCTTTCTCTCAAGCTCTCATCTTTCATTAATTGCTCTTTAATTGCTTAGTTACTTTTAGTTAAAAATAATCCTCAATCGCGCTTAGAATGTATGATTTATTTTCTCTTTTTGTGCTTTTAACAAAGAATGTGTAAACAAAGCTCCGAGTCACCTTCCTTCGAGAAGACAACCCGAGGGTGATCTTTCGATCGTACTCGGCTAACAACAGTAAGTCGGTCAGAACAAAATATAGAGTATCTAATCTTCACCTTAAATTGGTTTGGCTTACAATGGTAAGTCGGCCAAGTCAAACTTTAGCTCCTCGAAGGCCACATGTGTCTCGTTTGTCCATAAAAATCGAGCACTCTTCTTCAAAGTTTTGAATAACGGGCTAGTCCTTTCAGCCACCCTCAAGATGAACTTGCTCAATACCTCGATCCTTTCCGTTAGCCTGAACCTCTTTTATGTTCTGGGGAGTTGCATCTCTAGAATAGTTTGCAGTTTTGGGGTTTACCTAAATTTTGTAACCATATACACAAGCCACTCTTAGTACAATTTTTCTGATCTCACTTCAAATGCAGACTTTGTCGGGTTTAACTTCATTACAATTTTTCTTAAAGTTCCAAAGGTTTTCTGGAGGTCCACGATGTGATAGACCTCTAGCTTGCTCTTAACTAACATATCATTAACATATATTTCCATGTTTCAACCCAGCCTCTTCTTTAAAATTTTGTTATCCAGCATCTAGTAGGTGGCCCCGGCGTTTTTTAGAAAAAATGGCATGACAAAATAGCAATAAATTCACTTGTTTGTCATAAAGCTAACTCTTATCCTATCCTCCTTGGCCAATGGAATCTTATGACAACCCTGCAACACATCCATGAAGCTGAATAGCTCGCACTCTACTGTAGAGTCGACCAGCTAGTCGATCTTGGGGAAAGGGTAATGATATATTGAGCATGCTTTATTCAGGTATCTAATCCCTACCCCTTGGTCACCATAACTATATTTGACAACCACTTCAGAAATTGTATCACAATGACGTGCGACGCTTTCAATAGCTTATTGAACTCCTGCTCAATAACTTTATCCATCTTAGCTCCATGGTGTTTTTTTTTTTT